ATATAGATATAGATTAGATATAGATATATGTATATACAAATTAGGATAGATATACAGCCACTTTCTCTTAATTCAATGAGAAGAAAGATCTGTACTAGTAGTGTTTGTGGACAGAATATCATGTCTGGATTTTGTACTATGAATAACCACTAAGAAGGCAACAATATGCAATGTATTAATTATTGAAACTGTCTTACTAGTTGGTTTTGAAACTGTCTCCTTGCTGTTTGTTTCTGAATAAAATTATTTTAAAAATTTAAACAAAAAAAGAATTATCAATCATCTCAGTGATTCTGTTTCTAAAATACTCTTGTTTCCTGAAGTTATAGGCATTGTACTCTTTTCATTTCACTGTGCATATTGTGCCACTCTGTGAACTACTCTGATTATGCAAAGTAATTATTAGCTCTGGTTTAGCAATCCCTGATATCTTAATAGATGAGAAACACTGTTGCTCAGTGCAAATGGCATCTCCCACATGAATTCTCCCATGGACAAACCCTGCTTCTCTCTAAATTAGATTATATTCATGCTCCTACCATCCTCTGATTCTGTAAAGAAAGTATATCATCCTTAATCATTTTCCCATGTACCTTATATAATTGATAATTATGTTTTACTTATTTTTTAAACATACTTGACATTTCACAGCAAATTACTGTATTTATCTTCTTTTGTATTATTCACAGTAATTTAGGTCTTTGTAATCAATCAATTCTTTGTAAATAATTTCCCTCACTCATTCAGACTGACTTTATTAACCCTTCTTAATTTTGAGCAGAGTTTCTCAAATATAGATATCAATTTTTTGTCCTCCCAGCTACCCAGTATCATACTGTGCATAAAAGTTCTGAGTAACTGAGTGACTGAACCAACAACTTATGGTATTTCCTTGATTCTTAGAGACAGGAAGGAGTATAATCAGGCTGTCTATCACCCAAAATGTGACTGTTTTAGTTCTAACAAATGTACACACATACTTTTCCAAACAGTTTTCCAAATTCACTCAGGACACACACCACATTTTTAATAATCTGTAGGTTTTGCTAAGATTAAGTGACTATTATGTATGTATATTTCATTTTTCATATATAATATTTAAAATTGAACTTAATGACATTTATTGCAACTTAAAAGTACTGTTTTACTTTACCTCAATTGACTATTTCTGAGAAAAATATACCTGAAAATATTGTATAATATTACTTTAAATAAAGACATTGTTCATGATAGTCCCTGGTATCAGTCAAGAAATCAGGAAAAATAAGACTAAAAAAAAATTATTAGTAAGAGCCACATAAAACAACATTTCTTGCCTAGATGATTGCTTTCTACTTACCAAATTTCAGAACATTTCCATCATCAATACTGCCCCCTGGTGAACCAAGCTGGAATTCACAATCTGGAGGCCTGTGGTCCGGAAAGCATTGGCAGTTACCAAAATTATTACATATCTAAAAAATAAAAATATGCAAGCACTTTGAACTGCCTTTTTTGGCAGAATTTCTTAGCCCATATATCTTTATTACTATTAGAATCTCACTGAATAACCATCTTTCATAAGATTTTTATTATATAAGAAAAATGGATTACAATAAATATGAAAATTTTGACAAAATCATAATCAAATAGCCAAATCCCTAGAGAAGGAAAGTACATTTTTAGACTCAGCATATTGAGTATTTCTAATAAATACTTTGATTTCTTCAACCATCTTGTAAAAGTAAGATTCAGTGACGTTCTTCAGGGACCGGGGAGATGGCTCAGTAGAATAAGTGCTTGCCTGGCAAGCACAAGGTCCTGAGTTCAATCCCTGGTCCTGCCAAAAATAAATAAAAAATTAAAAAATAAAGGTCTTTAGGAGTGATTTCAAATTTTTTTCAGAGCTATTATTTATTTTGGAAACACTTGGTGTCACTAACTGGACCTTTGTATTTATGTACTTAAATTTCTTAAATTTCTTTTTTTTAATTTTTGTAATAGTTTCATTTGGAAATAAATAGAAATGAGACAGTTTCAAAACTGATTAGTAGGATAGTTTCAATAATTAATACATAGGATATTGTTGTTTTCATAATGGTTGTTCATAGTACAAGATGCAGACATGATATCCTGCCCACAAACACTATTAGTACAAATCTTTCTATTCATTGAAGAGAAAGTAGCCATATATCTATCCTAACTATTTTGTGTATATAGATACAAAATGGTCCTCCAATTGTATCCCCTTTTATGGTTTAGTTTTGTCAGAGAAGGGTATTTCATTGTCATTTAAATATTGTAGATGCATGAATTTAGCAAAATAATCCAATATAGTCTGGCAGTCCATAATACTAGTGGGTTTTCATAAGACTGGCAATGTCAGAAGTTGTTCACTTGAGCCTTTTACAGCTCAGCTTATTAATATGGCTTTACTTTTTATACTTTGTTTTTTTACTTTTCTGCTGGAAGGTTAAGACAAAGAAAAAGCAAGACTCTATAACAAGAAATGTAAATTTTATATATGACAAGGTCAGTTAAATCCCCTCAGGATTCATCCTGAAACTCTGTACTGCAATCTGTAGATCCTTTTTCAGTGGCAGCCATGTGGATGAATCACAATCATTGCTTGACCAATTTGCTCTCTGTGAAAGCCTGAGAGAATATTTTCTCCCCATGTGGTTCTCCTTAGGTACACTCTACATCATCGATCACCTTCCTCTGTGGCCCCATAATCTCCTTCATCAGTAAATTTGGGACACAACTGAGTTACATGATGTACTTCTTAAATTGCTATGCATGTGATTGATAAAAGAGCCATCGATGGACATAAATATTTTTAATCCTATATCTTTTTAATATTTCACATTATTTTTCAATGTTTTCTATTTTTAAGTGAATATCTTTTCCTATACAAAATAAATCTGATTCAAAAGAAAACATTAAAAATTTCCAATAAAGCAAAATTTTATAGTAAGTTTATATTATTGGAACTTTACATTTGGAAGTGCTTCCATGTTGACACTTCTAGATTTTATTAGTATTGATTTCCATTTTAAATTAAATATATACATGTTTTATAAAATCAAGACAATGCAAAATGTATGTAACTGAGCGATACTTCCCCAATAATAAAATTCCAAAGTCACTGCTAATGATGTATGTATTACATTCATACCTATGACATTTATATTGTATAATTTCTATATGCATTGATAAACACACTTATTTAAGCCACAAATCATAAAACAGTCACTTGTTCTTGACAAAATAATATTGACACCATTCCGCACACCCCAATACCATCCCAGTGAGTTACACTCCTGCCATGTTCTTGGGACCTCCAGATTGCGCCCTAGCCCAGGACTGGTGAGTGTGTGGAAAAGGTTCCCCTCTCCCCTACTCCCCATTGTCCCTTTCAGACTCAGCTCAGGCCTGGCATACAGGCCTGGGGTGAAACTCTGCAGATCCAGTCCGTGGAGAGTAAATATGAGACAAAACCACCCAGCTGGACCAGGAGCAGAACATATTTCCAGAGGGGCACAACAGGTTCAGTCCCATGGGCTGCAGCAGGAAGGAGCTGAGCATAACAGCCCGACCCAAGTCCGGCACAACTGGATAAATTCAAACTTTGTAGAACTGTACCTGAATTTCAGTAGGTGCTAAGGTTATAACTGCACCAAAGCTCTACAACAAAGGTCACAGGACAGTGCTATACAAAATGACAACAAGGAGCAAAATGCAATCTCAGACCCCAAGCCCACCCATAACAAGTGCAGCGGACACTAGAACAGAACAAATTGGGAATCACACAGCTGAAATCAATGAATCACTAGCTTCTGAAATAAAGAAACAACTGCAGAAAAGTATAGAGGAACTCAGATCGGAAATAAAAAAAGAAATCTCTAAACTAATAACATCTGAAGTAAAGAATTAAACGCAGAAACATATGGAGCAAACCCAGTGCCCACCCAGAACAAGTGCAGGGGACACAACCTCAGCTCAAATGTATGAATTAATAGCATCAATAGTAAATGAGCAACAGCAGAAAGTTATAGAGGAACTCAGAGCAGAATTAATTTCTGAAACAAAAAAAGAAATTTCTGAATTCATGGCAACTGAAGTAAAGAATCAAATACAGAAACATATAGAGAAAACCTAATCTGAAAAATCTCTGCATTAAAAGAATTAATAACTGCTTTTAAAGAAGACATTGATAAAAAAAAATAGAGGATATTACAAAAATAACGGATTCCTTGAATGAGCAATACAGGAAAGAAATAGATCGCATGAAGCAGAGTCAAAGAGATATAGAAGAGCTGAAAATCTAAATCACAAGCTTGCTAAACCATTTGAATGAAAGTGAGAAACAGAGTCTCAGATGTTGAAGACGCTGGTGCAGCTAGTGAAAAGGTAAGAAAAAATCTCTTAAAAACAAACAGGATGCAGGAAAAAATAATTCATGACTGGCAAGATGATGGAAAGATGAACAATGTGAGACTAATAGGTATCAATGAGAAAGAAGGAGTCAATACAAATGGCATTAAAAAAATATGGGCAGAAGTAATAGCAGAAAACTTGCCAAATATGAGGAAACAATCTGACATTCAGGTAACCGAAGCATAGAATTAAAAACACACTGAGACATATAATAGTCAAGATCCCAGAAATCCAGTTCAAGAATAATATACTGAAAGCTGCTAGAGAAAAGAAGCAGATCACATTCAAAGGAAAATCCATCAGAATTACAGCAGCCTTCTCTTTACAAATCATGACAGCAAGAAGAGCATGGAGCAGAGTACTTCAAGTCCTCTATGAAAACAAATTCCAGCCCAGACTACTATATCCTGCAAAACTCTCTTTCAAGTTTGATGGA